TCTTACGCAGTTCATGAAGTTCTTCATGTTTCCTTTCTTCTTAAATACCACTGCTGCATTATTCCAGCTTGATCCTTACCTTTTTTTTTTTTTTTTTTTAGGAATTGCCTCAATCACCATGATGAGAAAATTATTACCTATTGCTGTATGGTACTGTTCACCTGCCTGAATTCAGAGAAAGTGAGAGAACTACTGAAGCATAAGAACTTGAATGTAGCTCTTGCTGTTGTAAAAGTCTATAAAAAGCAACTGGAGTCTGAATGGTCGTATGTATCTTTTTGATTTATTTAAATAGCATGGATAACTACTAAGATGCAAGTCTGGTTCACATATATCAAAACTGAAGACATAGGAAGTAATTGAACTCAGAAGTCTAGGTTGATTAGGATTCTATCATTTAGGGTAAGCAACCATTTTTTGTCAGCTTTGTACTGATTCTGCATTTTGGTTTTAAACTTACAATATGTGCATACCAAATTTGTGTGGAACAGAGATAAATTTGAGTCTAAAACAAGCAGCATACATCTAGTGAGTGAGTTACGGGTCATATAATAAAAACATTACGTTTGCATGCTTGTTTGTTCCATCTCTCTCTTTGAATATCTGTTTGTAAAAACATGTATTAAAACATATTGGGTTTTGAAGTGGAAACTAAGCCAGGAAATAATCTTTCACAGATTTTAGTACTTGGGGTATGACAGTAAGATTAAGCAGCAATGAAACATTACATACATTAGTTTTCTTGCATGTCTTAAAAGTTCTAATGCAACATGCAACAATTAAACAAAAGTAGGACACAGATGGTATGCTTGTGAATTTTCGATGTTTCATTTTATTAGTTTAAAGAATATAATCAGTGATTTTACAATGTTCAACTTTATATATTTTTGCTAATAAGTTACTATAAACTGTGTTTTCAATTATGCATTTGTGACGTGTTCTCTCTTGCTCCAGCCTTTCCATCAGGATGCAAATAATCAGTGCCAAGGGGTAAGCCTCTCCAGCACACCCCCTTGTGGCCCTGCTGCATCCCCTTCGGGTTCTTTTCAATCAATGACAAGACTTAGGTTGGCTTAAGACTATGCAACCACTTTGTGGGATCCCGTTTATTAAGTTTTCTACAAATGTTGGCTGTCTTTGTGAGTTGCCCCAAATCTTTGGGTCCCTGTAAGAGTCCTAGTCAGTTCTTTGTCCTGGTTGAGGGGAGACCTCAGAGCCCCTTTCCTGGAGCTAGGGTTGTGCTTCAAACAGCCTGTCTCCCCAGCTCTTCTCCTGGAACAGAGTATACAACAATGAAAGAGTCACACTCTCTCTCCTTAGAGCAGGAGCCCCAGCCCCACTCCGTGGGGGTGGGTTATAATTTAGCCTGCTGTAGGGCCACTAGCTAGTTCCTTCCTCAGCTGATCACTTTTCCCTCAATTAATCCTCAGGCTGGGAGGATCCAGGAAACAGCCTTCTTCTGCTACAGTCTTCTCCCTGCTAACTCAGGGCCCTGCCGGAGCCGCCTTACTCCCTAAATTGTGCAGACATTTGCCCTGCTGTGAGGGAGGACGCAGCATTTATGCTGATCCTCTTCTCCCAGCGCATTCCCCATTGGTTTGTGGGGAGAGGGGAGCCTTGCCCTGTCCTCTCTGCAAGGCACCTAGCCCCCAGGCTCTTAAAGATAAAGTGACACAATTTCCTCCCAGGAACTTCATTCCCAGGACTGATGCTTCTCTCTCCACATGCCCCTTAGGTCCTCATACTGAACTTTTCAAACCCTGAAAGGGCCATTTGGGGTGCTGACCACTGAGAACTACTTCCTTTAAGGGCCAGATCATCCTGTCACCTCCACTGTTGTTTAAATATGGGGGCGTTTTGAGAAAAAATACTCAATAGTGAAAACAAAAATCTTTTTGCAGATTTTGTAGGTTATGTCTAAAGTCAAGGTTATGTCTAAAGTCAAAATTTAACTTCTATGTTTGATATAAATGTTGTAATTTGGAAGAGATAGTAAGGTCCTACTGGATATTTGGAAAATCCCCCAAAAGGACTTAGAATGACTAAAGGAAAAGCAAATGTCATTTAATAGATTGGTTTTGTTCCAATCTTATTTAAAACATTGTTTGTGGGTAGGCTCTTTTTCATAACCAGGTCAATTTATTTAGGGCAGAAACAGTTTCCAAACAGCAATCTTAAAGTTTGAGGGTCAGGCAACCAGATTTCTATTTGAGTCTTTTTATTGGGAAAGTAATTATAGAATACATAAAGCAGCAAAATAAACAACTGGACTATCTGTTTGGTCACTGTAGGCTCATTCTGTTGACTTCTGCTTCATTAATGAAGACCTTTAAGTGATGTGACTGTGGGAATCCAAAATTGCTGTGGAAGAAAAGCAGAATAAACAGTCTTTTGTCAGAATAACCTTCAAATGAGTAGGGAGCAAAATATTGTACAAGGTCATCAGATGAGGATAGAAGGGGAAATAATAGGCAGAAGTGGTTAATCCAATGTCCATAATAAGGCACTTGCAGAGTGTTTGCTTCCCCCCACCCCTTTCAGAATATAGAAGGTGTCACGTTCAGTAAATCACATCTCCTTGATCACATGCATGCAAACGCAGGCTTTCCAAATGTCTACGAGTGTCCTATCTTTAAATACACTTGGTTGCACTTAATCATTCCCAACTATCTGTTATGATGGCCTTTTGCTCGTTTACAAATTGTTCCGATATTATTATTGGGAATTTAGGAGCCAAGCAACAATGTTAGATTTCTGTTACTATTGTTTCCACTGTGACAACTTGGTCACACCCATCAATATTTACATATCAGTAAAATTCAGTGGGAAGAAAGTAGGGTGGTTTTCAAGAAAATCAAACACTGAAAAGCAAATATATTTAATTTCACTTCAATGGTTATGATGCTGCTGTTATGCACCAGATTCAAGTGTGTCACTGTCGCTGTTCTGGCAGACACATGTTCACTTCTGTTGGTAGCACATAGGCTAACGTCTGCATATTGTCATAGAGAGTAGTCATGATTGTGTTCTACCCAAGAGCAGCTTCACAAATACAGTGTAGAAAGGCTTTTACTTCTTGACAAGGATTTGGGATCGAAAACTCCTCAAAAGAGTAATTGAATTTTCTTTGTAGCCGTAGCTGAGCAGGACTGATTTCTGATTCATTAAGTACAGTCTTGAATAACTTAACTCCTCACATGGAGGGAACTCAAAAGAATGTTAGATGACTTGCAATTACCAGCTGCCTTTAAGGGGACTATTGTTGTTGAAACATAGCCTCTTCAAAGCTGGCTGGCCTTTTACAAGTTGGCCAGCATTCTGTTTAAAATGTTCAAAGTTGGGGAATCTGGAAAGCAACCTTGGATAAGCCCCCAGTTTTTCAAATCTCCATCTATCCAAAAGGTTCTGAAACTATGCAGCTCAAGAATTATTTATAGTCTAAAATTAGAGCATTAATCTGTTAGCACTGGTTCAAAAAAACCCAAAACCAAACCAAAACCCTCCACACACACACTTTTGTCAGAAAGTAGCATTTCATTGAAATCTTAAATTTTCTGTGGGAAGATACAGACAGATGTAGTCCAGTTAGGGAACTGGGACCAGGGGAGAGAACAGAGGAATGAGGGAGCCAGAATTACAAGTCCTATGACACTACAGTCCTTCAGGAAGATGCAGAAATTAATACCTGAAACATTTCAACATTTCTGAATCAAACTTTTTTCTAGAACATTTTGTTCCACAAATAGTTTTGATATTTTGACTTTTCAAACACTATTTGGGATGAATGAAATGTCAAAATATTGCAGTTTCCCGTGGGATGGAAATTCTGTTTTTTCAATCAGCTCTACTGTTTTCATGGTAGAAATGTGATCTTACTTATTAATACCGAAGGTCAAGAAAATAGTTGGGATAAATTGTGTCTCAACTAGGGCTGTCAATTAATCGCAGTTAGCTCAAGTGATTAATGCAAAATAAATTAACTAGATTAAAAAATTAGTTGCGATTAATTGCAGTTTTAATAAAACTGTTAAATGATAGAAAACCCATTTTAATTTATTATAAATATTTTTGGATGATTTTCTACATTTTCAAATATACTGATTTCAATTACAACAGAATACAAAGTGCACAGTGATCATTTTATATTATTATTTTGATTATAAATATTTGAACTGTAAAAAAGATGAGGGAGTATGAGGTGAATTGAAAAATACAAGTGCTATAGAGCAATCGCTTTATCGTGAAAGTGCAATTTACAAATGTAGATTCTTTTTTACATAACTGCACCCAAAAACAAAGCAATGTAAAACTTTAGAGCCTACACACACACACTTCCCTCCTAACACTAAACATATTTAAATAAATGGTATTCTGTTATTGTTTAACAGCATGATTAATCGCGACTATTTTTTTAATCTTGTGATTAATGGCAATTGCTCTTTTTAATCGTTTGACAGCCCTAATCTCAACATAGGGATAGTTGAAAGTGTTTTTTTGGAGAACCAAAAGGTAAACATGTTTCTTGAAGGGGAAAACTATAAAAGCAATACCCTATTACTTGGTGATTGTATTGAATATAATAAAAACAGGAACAAAAATTAATCAAGCATTTTTAATAAAAAAATGTAAAACTACAAGCTAAATAGAAATGTCAAGAGACTTGCTTGTGAGTTCAGTTCATATCATTGTAATACCTACTCAGTGTCACAATGGACCTTTCAGTTTGTATTTTTCTGTTCTTAATGTACTATAAGCATGTTGGCCTATGAGAACTGTGCCAGAGCTATTGAAAGCTTATCATTTATATTTTTGTTTTTAAAAGGCCACATAAAATGCCCAGAATCTGATATTATTAACTCACATGGAAAAAATAGTGAGAATGTACTACCTCTAAGAGTAGTACTTGGTCAATACTAAATATTGCAGAAGAAAAACAAATATGTTGAACTTTTAGCAAGCTGGCAGGTATTTCCATGCAGATTTTTGTATATTTACCGACTAAGGTTCAAAAGTTAAAAATCAAAACAAAAATCCCTTTCTGCAGCCAAGTGCCTTTTTGCCACTATTGATTATGCAGTAATTTGCGGTGGGTGGAAGCAGGCATTTTGATGCTGTCTTTTCAATTTCTTTGCAGCTCTCCATTCAAGTTTATATGGAATGGACAAAAACATAATTTTGAACTCCAGCTGAATTTTTGGTGAACTAGGTTGCTTCAGTGTCAAACTTCAGGGTATATTTTTCCTTGCATATACAAGGAATGCCTAAT